CTTGATCTTCGTACCAATATCCAAAATCATCTTCTGGAATGTTATAAGTGCGTTCTGAAAAATTTCGAAACGATGTGTTATACTATATAACAATCAAACTGTATTTTTAGTGTTCTTACTGTTTACTAAAAATACGTCATATATATTATACGTACATATTTATACCATTATTTAGTTGCAACAGCTACAATATTTGTGTACTTTTCTTCTGTATCTTCGCGTAATCTAGAAAATTTTTTAAATTTTGTAATGCTTAAGTAATGTGCAAGATTATGATAAGTATATATATTTCAATATATATTTACTTTTGACGCAATAGTATTTTCAATAGAAGCTAATGGCTGTCGATCAGTGTTAGTATACTTTTCATACTCTTTACGTTTAAGTCTCGTTAGTACAACTTGAGGTTGTCGTATAATTATTGGATCTTGATTTACGTTAACTTGTGTCACCCTTTCATAATTTTCCCCGTCTTCTAAAGATATATTTATTATACTTTCTTTCTCTAAAGTGTGATAAGGGATTAATTTATACAAATAAAAATGACAAAAGATATTGTTAATACTAACCTTTCGTGTTTATATGTTCTGGTTGACAAAAGAATTGTGTTTCGGAACATAACTCTTCTTTATTATTCTTTCGACTTTTGCTTTCTAAATATATGTTTAGTACATTTTCTTTTTCTCCGTTTTTATTTTCCAAAGATATGTTTGATATATTTTCTTCCTGTCTATTTTCATTTTCCAAGGATATATTTAATACATTTTCTTCCTCTATATTTTCATTTTCCAAAAATATGTTTGGTACATTTTCTTTTTCTCCATTTTGATTTTCCAAGAATACGTTTGGTACATTTTCTTTTTCTCCATTTTGATTTTCCAAGAATACGTTTGGTACATTTTCTTTTTCTACAGCATGATAAAGCAGGCTTACTTTATAAGAATAAAAGATAATTACATGAGATATTGTTAATACTAACCTTGCATGTTTATATCCTGTTGAAGGTAAAAATTGTTGTGTATTCCAGTAAATATTAGCAAGAACTGTTCAAGAGGCAACCTATAAATGTTTTGATATAACATTATTAATTATATTACTACAATTATATTATATTACTATCTTATTATTTGATTAATGATTTTTTACATTACCTTCCTGTAATTAAATATGTTTGTGCTTGAAAAATCTTTAAGTCACGCTCTTTATTTTTGCGTGGTTGTGCAATTGTTAAACTTTTATTATTTTGTAAACGTTCAAAATTAATTTCTTGATCTACGAGTAACTTTGTCAGTTTATCTGAAATTAATGTTAAAAATAAATGATATATAAGCAAAATTTCAGTTTCAATTTCAATTAAAATTAATTTAAAAATAAAATGAAATAAATTAGATGTTGTACAGAGTGTAACAAGTCAACTATGAGTATTTTTGAAAAGTTGCCATTTCTCAACCACCTGACTCACAAAATTTGAAGAAAGCATTGAAGGCCATTACACACAAAATTCCGTAAGGACGTAAAACGTAACAATAAAGAAATTGATTAATCCCAATCCAATATTTGGCAATAGAGAGGTTACAGAAAGCCTAAACTGAATTGGGATTAGTCGATTCCCTTACTGTTACGTTTTACGTCCTTACAGAATTTTACATGTGAAGGCTATAAGGAAAAATAAAATGTTTATTTGGTACTGCTGATGAATCGCAAGTGCTGTTAAAAGAGTTTTGTCAGGCCTCAAAATCGAAAAATTGGAAATTGTTGATGTATGTAGAATTATTTTTGGTATACCATTTTTTCACTTTTCAAATACTACTCATTTACATTAATATTTCGACAAACAGTTGAAAAGAATAATGGTGAAAAAAAAAACAATTTTCTGGTGTTAAATAAAAAGGGATAAAAGGAAAAAGAAATAAAAAAAAGATTTAAGACTTCTGGCCCCTTACTGCAGCCATATTGAATTATGACGTCAGTGGCGAGAATGACACGCTGATTTTGCGTCAATGCCATTTGCAAATAAATATAAATTTGGATAAAATAACGTATTATAATATTTTAGTACACTTTTAAAATCCGGCGAATGCTATCCTTGATCTTTATTGATCAAGATTAGCATTCGCTGAATTAGATTAAGCAATTTGAACATGATTAAACAATACAGTATACAGTATACTGACATAAAAAATCATAAAAAATTTTAATTGTTACTCATTGATTGTTACACTCATAAGAAAAAGTATAATATCATTATAAAATACAAGATTTTCTGAATTAAAATATTGTACCTAAAAATATCCATAAATTTTGATGAGGACCCAGTTTTCGTCTCATCGTACTATGAAAATTTTCTACTAAATTGTTTGTTCTTACGGGACAGTTATATACACTAACTTTTGAGGCTTTAGGTAACCAGGTTTTTTCAATATATGTTACAAAGTGCAATAATTCCTCATATTTGGAATGTGTAGCATCACAATAATTATGCAATATTCTTAATGCCTGCACGAAGTATTCTTGTGGCAATAATGGAAGCGTCATTGTCATAGACAACAGCGTACTTGAAATATTTGTTAAACCTAAGCGATTCCACTTACGTAATACAGCCTAAATTATAAAATATAATTTATATTTTCATATTTCATAAATAAATTAAAACAAAAAATTATTATAAATTAAGAATAAGAAGTAGAACCTACTTGATTATAATGGAACCAACAGCCATGAATATTTGCATTTGGAAAAAGTTTTTCCAAAACTTTCATAGCTGCTGCTTCGTAATCGCTCATAATAAATTTGACACTAGTTTTTAATCCTGGAGCTAGCTGTAATATCTTCAACCATATTGCTTCATATAGTGCACTGGTACGTGCTTCACATAAACAGAACACAGTTCCAACTGCCTAAGAATAATGGCTTTTAATATGATATATTAATGTTTAAATACTTTTTATTTGCAAAAACTTACTTTATTTATATAACGAATGTGAATAGTATACAGTTGATCTATATGTGGATAACGAGGAACAACCTACCAATAAATTACAAATATTTGAAATAATAAATGTTTGAAAAAATTATAAAAAAATAAAGGGGCTCCGAGCCATAACAAGGTGTCCGTATCAATATATTTTTTCAAATTGAAATTTAATAATGAACATAGAGGGATATTAATTTTTTGAGCCTTTTGATTTATTTATAAAATTATATTAATTAAAATAACTTACCGAAAAAGTTCCATCGACAAAAATTTCTTGAGCTTGCTGAATTATTTCAAGAAGTTTATCACTTGAAAATATAACAGCTCTGCTACCATCTTGTGCAACTACATTTCCTTTATAAAATTCTTTAATCCATTCGTATTCAATTAAATCAGTACATAAGGCTTGAAAGGTATGTGGAATAGGAGGTCTTTGTTTAATTCGTTCTCGAGCCATCATACTTTTCATAGAACTATATGATATATGTGCAGCTACTTCTGGATTTCTGAAACAATTAATATTATTAAATAAAATAAATTAAAAATATTAAAATAACTGTGGATGTTTTCCGATTCATACATATTCAATGCATTAACGCATTTTTCTGTTCAAGTGCAACATTTACGTGAAAATAAAAATATATGTTATTTCACATAAAGTATCAACATAATATTAATAAAAAATAATAAATTAATTTCAAATTTCTCATTTTTTAATATCAGAAATATAATTATATTTTAAAAATATGTATATTGAGAAATAATATATATATTTCTACATGTATATTATTACTTTTGTTGATTATGATATAGTTTTTATGCGCAAAAAAGTATGAATTAGAATATATCCTTTATTATATTTATAATATAAAACAACGTACGTTCGAGAAACGTTATCAAAAATCTCCTTCAGTGGCAGAAGCGATTCTCGTGATAAACGTAACATTTCGTTCTGCAATTTAGATTTTTCCAACTTTTTAATATCTGGTGGATGTTTATGTAGAGTTCGCACATGTACTTGTCCATCGATTATCTTTGCCACACCAGGACATCCTGTTACACGACGGCTCGAACATCTATATGTATTCATTGTATTCTTTATTCGCTTATCAATATTATATGTATATCCATCATGTATATAAATGAAAGTTCCCTTTTGTTTACCGCCAATTGTTTCCATGTTGTACTGAAATATAATAATCAAAAGATAATAATCAAGCGATGCAGTGTCGCAATGCCAAATACATAGCCGATTCTACATTAGATCACTGTATACACTTTTTTATAATGCGTTTTTCACAATGGCATTAAAGTAGATTATAGGTCTCTACACAAGAATGTCCGTAATATGTTAATATAAAAATAAATTTATATCAATGCACAAAGTAACCTTTCTTTTAAAAAGTTTCCTTTACAAATTTATTAGTTGTTGACATAAGTTTATTTTTAAGGTAACATAACGTATTATAAATAATCTTGTGCAGAGATATATAATTTGATAAACGAATTAAAAATACATGTAGATGTTCCAGCCATCATGTAACAGGATGTTTTGGTGTGACAAAGATAATTTATGGGCAAATGTAAATTCTACATCAATCTATCATTCTAAAAAGTTGGAAAAGTCCACGATATAAAAACTGTGAGACATCGGAGTTAGCATTTTCAGTTAATACGGGCTACATTTCGATATTCACTGCCAATACTGAAAATCTAGTGTTCGTGACGTAAACATATAGATTTTCAATATTGTAAGTGAATATCAGCACGCAACTAGGGTGTGTAATAAAGCCATAAGCGAAATGGTTTACTAGACCATAGGAAATAAGATTGAACCATTTCACTTACAATTTTATTTTACGTCCTATTAACCGAAAACGCCATTTACTCCAATGTTTTACAACTTAATCCACTACTGTTAATGCCACTGTAGATAACGCATAATGTATTAATTAAATACTGACCATAAACTTAGCTCTGCATGTACATAACCTTAAATTAACGATCAACGCTTGGCTTCTTCTACTTGAAATTTAATGACATTTAGTCTTTAACAAAACACAATACGGCCAAATATAATATCATACCCCTTTCAGAGCAGAAATCACAAAAACGAGTAAATGAAAAGCAAAACGTCTAGGTAGGATAGCAAAACGTTGTCCGCGCGAATAACCCGTTAAGCAGCCAAACGGTGGAAACAAACGGAGGGAGAAAAGCCGAAGTGAGCACGAAAGCGATTTTTGTAGCAACGGCAAACCTTACAAAAATAATTTTTACGCAAGACAAATTAAAATATATCCCGCACAGATCGACTACCATTGACCATGGTAGAAATACAAGGGTATGCTCTTGCGCATATTTCCGAACCCAGCCAATCAGCGACTTTTCCAACCTTACGTCACACTGAGCGGCACATTTAAGCAGCGAATCTATAATAGTCATTTATAAAAGCATTTTGAGCGGACAATATGTGAATACAAAATAATGTTGATCATTTATGTGAGAGAAAATTCTGTTTTATAAATAAATAAATATATATGAACAAAAATATATAAATATAAAAAACGCACGTGACATACGGATAAACGCTCATCGTTTCCCGAATTTGTCTCTCGTTGTAGATGTTAGAAACGTTATTGTTATTTGACGAATTTTATAATTATTTTATGTGGATTTGTCTAAATATATGATATTACAGAAAATATTATTATTATTAAGAAAAAAAGAATTGTGTGCATTGAATAAAAATCATTGCGACGTACGGAAAAATTTCACATAAAACGAGATTTTAATTTCCAGTCATTTATTATTAAAATTCTGCGAATTATTAGTTTTAATCAAAACTGGTCGGAAAACGATTGGAAAAGAATTGTCAGCTGAGACGCAAAACAAAAATATATTGTGGCGTACGACATAAAGAACTATATATGCAGAGGAAAGATGCAGATAAAAGATCAAATAACAATAAATGCAAATATTTAATATACAGGTTTTTTATTAGTAAATTTTGACATCTTTCTTCTTTTTTGCCTGTGATTTGCGATTGCAATCGCTCGGTTCATTTCGCGCAGCCTAATATATGTCCTAGTCCTAATGAGGCATAGTAATGCCTCTCTCGGTATTTTAATTTTCAATTGTGGTTCTATTATTTTTGCTAAGTTTTGAAATATAAGATTTTCTTTATTCAAACTGGATCCGTGATATTTAGCAAACTCAATATTCATTATACGAGCACATTGTAATAATTTGTCACTCGGATACATACATTTTCCTCGCGAAATAACTTGCAGCCAATCTTGGTCACCCGTTGTTTCCAATTGGCGCGTTTCAATACCTAATGTTTTATCTGTGCTTTTAAATCTAAATGCTACGTATCCGGCTATATATTTTGCTTTATATTTTGCTGGTGTCTGTTCTTCTGTACTGGACGATGCTGCTGTCTGTTCTTCTGTACTGGACGATGCTGGTGTCTGTTCTTCTATACTGGACGATGCTGGTGTCTGTTCAACATCCATCGAAACTTCATTTGATACAGGCAAAGGCATTGTTTCAGCTAACACATTTTCGTTTGATGTTAGTGGAGGTACTGCATGGAGATGCAACGTCGGGATAGCATCAGGATGTATCTTCCTAGTTCGTATAGGTGAATAACCTAGTAGATGTTCTTGTAAGGGCTTCGTAAAAGCTTCATCAGCAAAATGCTTCGAACATATCCTAGCTGAAGCAAACAAGGTTTAAGATTCTTAAATATATGCTTATAATAATAAACAAGAGAAATCTATACAAAAGTACAAACCATATTTTGGTGAAATATTTTCTTTTCCGCATGCTTGACGCCACTTATTAAACAGTGCTGGATCCTTTGGGAAGGAAAAATATTTTATTTTATTTCCTTCGATCTTTCTGGTCTTTGCCAGATAGTTCCCACACCCTTTCACATTACACGTCATTGCGTACACTGTAATAATCACAAACGAATTACTCGACATAAACAGCGAACCGAGCGAACGCAGCCATTGCGAATCACCGAGTACATCCGATTCATTCCGATGCTACACGAATATGACGTAAGTTTGTATAAAAGTGGTGGGAATGCGCAGTGGTCTGACACGGTATGAGCATACCCTTGTATTTCTACCATGCCATTGACCATGTTGGCGCACAAGAACATCCGTAAAGCTCGTTCTGCATTAATCGCAAGTAAAGGTGCCTTTTCATGCAGCGAATTTTTCGCTGCGAATAATTTCTAAAGGTGCGATGGAAGTTAGAAATTCGGAAAACGGAATCTCGGAAAAGTAACAGAGAGGGGGTCAACCGATCAGAATCATCATTTTGTTTACGTACGTGTTACAAGGCTAGGTGATCTTTCTGGTTTATATGTTTAATGAGAAGAAGTATACACTGTTTTTGTGCTAATTTATTTTTAATAGTTTATTTCATGAATTAAAACATATCGCATGATCTCTATCTCTACAAAATAATATATAAATACACAATTTTTAACACATAAATAGTTAATGTACATACATACTGTCAGAGATGCAATAATTGTGGATTTCCGTTAGTCCGAAATTTTTGTGACTGAGTTCCTCATGAACTGATATTTTCGGAATACGGAAAAATGGAAAAATTTATTTTTATTATTTTAGAAGAAAAAATATACTTTCCGTAGTAGTACAAGCTATTAAAAAATGAAGCTTCGACGTATTTTTTATTATACTTTAAAATTATATAGAAATTTCTTTAATTTAAAAATAATTTAAGGTTAGAATGCCATTCCGTTTTCCGTAAAAGTTGTTCCATGAGGAACCCAGCCCTTGAAAAATCGGACCGACCAAGATGACCCCCTTTTCCTTACTTTTGCGAGATTCCGTTTTCCGAATTTCTGACTGCCATCGGGATGCACCCTAATGCTAAGACTCCATAGACGCGGAAACGCCATGCGGCAGAGTGCGTTGACCAATCACAAATTTTGATTTTGCCGCAGGCGACTTGCGGCAGCCTTCTGATTGGTCAATACACTCTACCGCACGGCGTTTCCGCGTCTATGGAGTCTTAGCATAAATTGGACACCACCAATCAGATTTCTTAGTTGGGTAGGGTTAGGATGAATTTATATAATTTGATTGGTGGTGTCCGATCAACACTGTGCGCATCTGGGATCACTCACTCACATGAAATGGTATGTACCTTAAAACTCGTGACTCGCGTTATGACGCGACGCGTGATGCCCTCGGTGAAAATTCAGCCTAAAGCCGGCTTCACACCTTAGCAGAAAGCAGAAAAGCAGAAGCCAATCAGAACTCTCACTCATAGTAGGCAGTATGTATTGGTAATATACCAATACATACTACCTACTATGAGTTACACTGTACGCATCTGGGATGCTCCCGCATCACACATCGCTACCACAGTATATACAGTAGCGCAACTCTGTGTCGGCACTTTTGATGTCATCGTGGATAAAAACCAACTGCGCATGCGTGAAGTAGGTAGGTAACCAATCATGATATTGATATTCCGTCTCACTTTGACTAATGGCAGAGAACGAGACGAACGTATTTACGTCTGTCGTAGTCGTTAGCGTAAGCAGACGTAAATCTAAAGACCCTTTTACAATGCCAGGCACTAAGCAACATTTATTCCTATCGCAATTATATGTGCTACATTATATGTATATGTATATGTATACATATAAATAAATATATATATATATATATATATATATATATATATATATATATAGGGGAACAGGGGGTAGCCCCGGCCAGTGGGTAGCCCCGGACATTATTGAAATTCAAGTATACCGCGTATCTATGGCCATTGTTTAAACATTCTAATATGCCCTTCTGCGTATCTCGACATATGCAGAATGTTTAAACAATGGCCATAGATACGCGGTATACTTGAATTTCAATGATGTCCGGGGCTACCCACTGGCCGGGGCTACCCCCCGTTCCCCTATATATATATACAGGGTGTCCCATAATTATGGCATAAACTCTCGTGAGCAG